GGCGCGCGACCAAACTTCATCACTTGAGTGGGAGTGTGCTGCACTAACGCTGAGAAGGGATGACGATGGTATAGTAAAGCTGGATTAAGCTCGGGGCGGGAGATTAGCATCCCCTCCGCGATGGAGATGAGGAGTGGAGAATCTTGGCTTCTTTTCGTTTTTTTTTTTCTTTTTTTTTTTTCCTTAGGTGCCCGGGCGTCTGTCTTCTTTTTTTTTCCCTCAGTGGTAATGGGTAATCATGGCCCGCGCTCTTTTTGCATCTCGGTGGGGCCTAGCTGCCGGGCGAGCCCCGTCCGCCGCCGCCCTTCCGCCCGTCGCCCGCCGCCGTGGGTGGCCATGGGCCATTGCCCGTGCCGGGTGCCCGGACCTCGAGGTTGCGTCCGCGTCGGTAATGAGAGTTTCGCTCCCTTTTTTTTTTTTTTTTTTAATCCCACAATGTTGGTTGCGTTGGGGGTGGGTTTTGTGCCTGGCATCCCATCCCGATCTGGTCAAGGTCAAGATGCACACCCGAGGCAAGTCTAAGCCTGTATAGGTGCGGATTTTCCAAGTTCTGTCTGGGCGAACATGTTGTTGGATAATGGGACGATTGGGGATGATTGACGTCTTTTTTTTTTTTTTTTTTGGTTTGGTTTTGTTTTTTTTCTGTATGCGCGGATCGGGTTGGGGACAGTGCGTCTCGAAACCGGGTGACTGGATGAGTATGTGCCACACGGGGGCGCTCAACCGCGTCGTTGGCATTGGTCCAGCCGATTCAGCGTCCGGCTTCTTTGTTGAATCGATGTTTATCCGCACTGACTTCAACTACGGGTAGCTGATATTTTTTTGGGTTATTTAGCTTGCCTGCTCTCAACGTGGAAAAGGCAATGAGGCAACGAAGAGCACCGTTGCCAGGAACGATGCACACGCGGGAAGGTAGCCAGTAATTCAGGATACAAGTGTGTGGCGCTATGCGAGGTACCTAAGGTAGGTATACTTAGGCGGGGCAAGTGACTTTTTACGCAGGACAGGTCCCAATTCTGATTCAACCCGAAACAATGGCAGGTATTCGCTTCCATTCCGTGAGTCCGTCCCGGATGGGGGTAGGTAGCACGGGGGCATGAACCACCAGCATGACAGGTACCTCGAGAGAAAAAAATGGCCCGCCAGCCCTGACTTTGACGCAAGTCTAATTCATTGTCCGTAGCTTCGTTTCGTTTTGTTTTTCTTCATGTCTCTCTACTCTCGACTTGACATGTCAGAGAGATCTCCATTCGTCGAATCGTCACTCCTCCTGGCGGGGAGGAATGTGGGCATTTGTTTTGGATTTCACCGTCAGTGTTCGAGACCATTTTGGGCGTGGGCAACGAACTCACTAGGTTGTGGGCTTGATTTCCTGATTGGGATTCTGACCGGTCCCGGCGGTGCTACCAGGTTTACGAGTGTACGAATGCGTACTGGGGTATGAATGGGGTTGCCCTTTCTTCTGTACGCAGTAAATGGCAATTCCCCGTCTCGCCTGCGGACATCTTCTCTTTTACGCTTGGGATCGACAATGACATTTGCGGTATTGTTTGTTTGTTGAATTTGAGGCAAGGGGGTAACGGAATTTGTACAACAGGTGGGCAGGCATGGGCATGGAAGAGCTGAGAGAGGGGCGTAGCCTCCCAAATGCTTGTTTGTCTGTACCTAATCCGTACAATACCGGTGACTGGGGATGTGTTAATCGTTAGGCGTACGAATACGTGCGTCTGGAAAGGGACGCGTTGGCACAAAGGCGTAATCATGTCAGAACGAAGATGAAGGTCCCGGGATATGGAAATGGGACGGCATGCGAAACCTGCTACTAGTTCATCAAGGAACCCGCGGGCCGTTATCTCTTCGTTTGGGCGTCGTCGAATCAGCTTCGGCTTGGCTTGGCTTGACTTGACTACCTGACCGAAAGTGTATATCTCGGCTATTGCAGGAGAGAAGGGGGCATTCGTACGGATAGCTGAGGTTCGTCTTAATGATCCGCCACATATAGGGCTGCCCTGTGCCGGCCGGTGGTGATGGCGCGGCGCGCACGGATATGGGTTCAAGCGTTGTGGGGGGTGAGGTGTAAGCTACTCAGGCGGGGAGCCTCGGGACGGGGGGGCCGTGTTGAGACCCGAAATCCAGAGCGCCGGCCGGCGTCCGTGGCGTTTTTATTTTTATTTTTTTATGAGTGCTACAGAATTGGACTCATTGCCTGTGCGTTTCGCGCGTCCGTTTTTGTTGGCGCTTAACAGAAGTGAGTTTGCTGCGTTGCGGTCAAAGACGTGAGCAAATTGCTTAGACGGCACATTAGATCCAGTAAGTAGTAGGGAGTAGTCTTTCTAACCTTGATATCGTGGAATCCTGAACTTGGCTAGATGGAATGACTCGATTCAATACTACCCGGCGTGACATCTCAGGCGCTCTTGACTCGGTTTTGTCTGAGTTGCCAGTGAGGTCCGGCGATGCCATAGCGTCAACAATCACGACAGAGTCAATTGCAACGCCTAGGTTGAAGCTCGCCATCTGTTCTCCACGTCCATGCAGCCAGCGTCCTTCACTCCGCCCTTCGATGGTGAAGCCTCTTTCATTGACGCATCATTTGGGGGGCTCGGGAGTCTGGGGGGCCACCATGCAGGGACGATCAACGATCCAGATTGGCAGATACTACCCTCAAAGGCGACCAGCCGCCTCTATCAACCCGGTTCTGGAAAATCATCCGTCGAATGCAACTTTGCAAGTTTTACCGACCTGTCAGGACTCGGGATTGCCCATCCACGAACGGATTGCGGAGTACGGAGTACACGGTACGAGAAACCTGATGTCGGAGCAAGTGGGGTTTCTTCTCCCAACGCTGGAGTCTTGGAAGTTGGAGATGGACTCTTGCTGATCTTTTCCCTTATCGAAACGGGAAGACGCATCTTATCAAGGAAATCAACGACCGAATTCCGGTTTTCTCAACATCATACGATATTACCCCAGTGCCAGGATATTTAAAGTATCCAGCCAGCCATGGAGGCTTGCAAGATCTGAGCACATACCAGCGGACAGATCGGGGAAGCAAGCAAGTGGGAGGCGGAATAGGATGCCGATCCACACACGTGGCCGCCTTCTTATTACCACTGCCATTCTCATTGGCATCGCCATATTCTCTCTGGGGCGCATGCTCTACGGAATATACAGAGAACATGACATGAGAATAGTGGCAGTGGCAGTAGCAGTCACAGAAATTCCAGAAGTAGAGTGGAGATACCGTAGACCGGCAACCTATCTTGTTACCCACTTGGCAAGGCTAGGGGTACACCGTACACAGGAGCGCCTCTTTTGTCCTCGGGGTGAAATTGGTAGGACAGCCGCCACCGAGTTGGGTTTGGATCTTGCTTGGAACTAATCTGCGGACATTTGCGATTTGCACGGAATTCACAGCTGTTCGACTAGATTGCTGCCTCGCCGTCTCGGATATTGAGGTGACATCGTTCACTGGGTATGGCGGTTAGGGGTAGGTAACGACATATCGGCAACCGGAGCAATCGACAGGGTTAGTCTATATGCAAAGTGCCGGAGCATGCCTTGGTAATGAGGATGATCTCAAGACAATGGAGACAATGAATACTTGACTACTTCCAATCTAGTTGAGGTCGTTGCAATTGTTAGCATGATTTAGAGCCACGTGCTCAGTGTAGGTCGTGAAAGACCCTATGAGTATGGATGAAATCTAGCTGATTAGTACATAGCAAATTACGTCGTTCTACTTTATCTGATATTCTCAATGAGATCTCTCATATAGATGTATTAGGGGCGTGCTAGTTTCTCTATAACTCTTTTGAATTATGCTCGTGATCTGTCAGGCCATTATCCTGTTATCCAATACTTCTCAACATTCTCACGCGTCATGGGGAAAGCAGCGTGAACAAGAGGCAACTCTCCAAAGACATCTCGTCCTTTCCAAATCACTCTCTATTGGTGGAGCAGTCGATTCAGACTACCTCGCTCTGGAACTGGTACGAAATAAGGTCATGTAGGTCTAGAGACGTGGCGTGGGCCGTGATCTGTCTGGACTAACAAGCCAGAGTGCCTTGATATGAGCCACATGCTCAACCCAATTCTTGAAGAATTAAATACGGCATTGAACTATAAGCAGTAAGAATGATAAAGCACCTACAAGAAAGCGTGTCTCCCGAGCTTGGGCAAGACTCGTGATGTGTGGCTGCTGTCCTGTTGTGAAAATATAGTCAACTTCGGCATCACCTCCTGTCACATACGACCATACCCATTGGAAAACTCGGGATCCCGTCCGCTCTCCCATAGATAAGCCAATGAGGGCCGGATTAGTAGTTGGGTCGGTGACGACCAGCGAATACCTGGTGTTGTATGTTTTTGATCTCTTTTTGAGGTGTTTTGATGTTTTCGTAGTGGTGGGTGACGATACCGTAACGATGGGAGTCAGGCATTTTGTTTGTGGTGGACCTACAGCTTGTACTAACCTCGAACAGGTACTGCGAGGTATGATCAAGTGTTTGTCGGAGTAGGTTCCTATCAAAGAGAGGAAGAGGAAGAAGGAGGCAAGGTTTTTGGAATCCTTCGTCCTGCGCCTGGATTTGCATGGTGCACTTTATCGTGATGACTAGGGACTGCAGAATGCAGATAGATACAATGGCCAAAGGGTTAAATATGAAAAGGAGTTGTTTTTACCAAGTTCATTCATTAAATCCAGGAACTGTGACCCGGCGTCTTTGTTTCTCGGTTGCTATTCCACGAGGGGGTTTGATAACCATATCTAAATTATCTGTATACTTGCAAACGAAAACTCGATTCTTACGCCGTCTTTGAAACAGAGTAACACGTGAACTATATGCAGGAACAACCATGTTACGAACACATACAAAAGAGTATCCTTGAGCCGGTGCAAGTGTCGTTGCCCTGCGTCGACAACGTGATGAATCCTCTCTGGTGGCTACTGCCAACAGAGTTTTCATAACTATTTCGGCCACCTATTTTCATTAAACTGATCAAGAGCCAAACGATAGCATGACTAACAAGAAGTGTACCAAACTTGGCTGCACATAATCCCCCAATACATCAGCCCGTATCGCCTTGTCATCTGCCCAGTACTCATCCCCATTACCCCTACAATTATTCCTCACACAACACGAGGTATTCTTCCCATCATCCGCATTTGGCGCCGTGATCTTGTATACGCCCCTCTTGGGCTTGGAGCTCCCGCACCCCGACATCTCCCAGTCCTGGACCTCGTACTCGGTATGCGCAAGCGACCACCACACACAGAGCGACTGGTTCTCCGTGCCTTCTTGGTTGCTGCAGGCCTTCGTCACACCTGTGGTGATGGCCTCGGAGACGGCGAAGCCGGCGCTGAAGAAGCCTCGCGGGTCGGCGATAGAGGCGTTCCATTCAATGGTGTAGGTCTCGCTATCCTCCTTTTCGATGCTGCATGGGCCGTCGGTGCACATGTGTGTAGTCTGACACGTTGATTAGAAGCTGGCAGTTTCGAAAGCTTTCAAATTTCACTCACGGTCACTTGCTTGTGTAGGAACTTCTTAGGGTTCCCGTCGCCGTGCTTCAGGTTATGATGTAGGGAATACAAGGAGGGGGCGTGATCTGTCGCCCTTGGAGCTCGGAGGCGACGTTGTTGAGATGGCTGGAGTCGTCAAGGGGAGCCGCTGATGCTGTAGCTGCAAGTACCAGGGCGAGGAAATGGATGTTCTGGAGCATTTTGAAGGTGTAGCGGTTACTTTGATATCTAAGGAGACTTCGTGTTGGGCGTGTGTGCGTATTGTGATCGATAAGGAGAACGAATCTAGAGGGTATCGACTCTGGTTCTTATAGCTCAATTTTGACGCGTTCAAATTGACGATTCTTGAGATCTGTACGATCGATCATCTTTCGTGGCCAGGCTGTCAGCACTACTACGAGATCCAGCTTGGCAAGTTTGTAGATCAAAGCTGACAGTGATTCGGCCTCGTGTCCCGCCTTCCTCGTCGGTTTAGGAAACAGTACGTTACAAGCCGCCTCGATGCCTGTTATGTGAGACCATTTGACACCATAACGCCTAGTTGATGTGAGACTTTGATCTTGAACTGACGGAGGGAAAAAATGGAGATCTAGTCGCGAGAGAATCGAAAGCTGACATTCCAAAGAAATGACTACCGTCTGAACGCATCATAATGTTCCTTTATTGCCGTCAGCTCAAACCATAGCCTGCTTTGTTCATCGTTGATCGTACTGACTTGGCGAACTCCTCAAAAACACGGCCACTATAGGATCTCGAAAGCTCACTGCATCCTTCTGTGTACTTCTAGCCATGGCATCTTGCTAAAGTTCAGCCCCATCCAAGTCATCGCTGCACCTGCAAACGCCACACGATTGTCACACACATTCATCATGATTGATCGTGGCTCGGATCAGTCAGTGTTGGTATACACACCAATGGTGCAATAGCCTCTCATCTGGTACGAAGTCGAATGGTCCGTGTAGTGTAGCGAGCGAGAAAGGATATGGAAGAAGGGGGTAATGGAAGTATCTCAACAATTCCTCCAAGGTGGGTGTATTTGGGCAGGGCTGTTTGTGCGGGCCGTAACAATCTTCGGTATCCGACTGTTCTGCCGATTACTCTCTGCTCAAATAGCTAAGCTCACATGTCTCTAACCTGACTCTTAACTAAGCTGTGATGAAAGGTTCAATATGACATAGCCAGGACCAAACTAACATCGTGAGGGATTACTCAATTCCAAACTCTTCACGTATTTCCAAAAGACAAACGAAAACGAAACATCTGTGCAGTGTCAAAGACCACAGCAAGCTGAGATCTCATGTCCTTCTTTACTCAGAGCGGGCTCGGTATTAACAGCTATACCGGCAAGGAATGGGGGAACTGGCAGACACACGTTAAGATGAAGATTGGACAAGCGCAGACAGCCTGCCGTGATTTATCCCGTCTTTCTTCGGGGAGGCCTCAATTTCGGCTGCATGGGTATTCTTACAGTCACTGCGTCAACACTGGTGGGTATGGTATAATTATCAAGGACGAAGACAAGAAGGCCTAGCGAGGCCTAGAAGGCAGATAGCCAGGTGGGATGAAGCAAAACTTGATCCAGGCTTGACCGTGTCTTCAAAGATGGAAGGCATTTGGCATAGCTAAAGTAGACACTGAGAAGATGTCGGGAGCACCAATTACTTGACTAATACATTATATATTGATTTGATGCTGTATATGAGGTTGGCACCAGGCTATTGTATGGCATAAAGGGTATTTGAAAAACTCGTACTGCGGATCCATTCCTCTCGCATCGCTTTTTTGGTGGCGCTCCCCGCAACCCAAGTTGCTTTCTCCAGCATTTCGTTCGTTTCAAGTGCACAAATGAAATCCCCCGTAACAGCAGATACGAGGTTTGCAGTTCATCCCGGGGTATTGGTCGACGACATGCGTCGAAGTCAACATAACCGACTCCATAAACGCCTTGCACGCATATCCATAAATCGAAGGTCGTGGTGTAAAAACAAAGGAAATGTGGGAACGAGCCGGCCGACCAACGCTCAAGTAGGCGGCAGAAACAAGAGTTTCTACTTCCTCTTCTGTCTGGCCTTCCACTCAGCTCGTGTCACCTTCATCAGGATATCCTCATCTTTGACCGGAATCCAAGAGGTCAAAGCCTTCATTGCGTTCTCAAAGTCTGAGTCAAGAAGAACGTCTCGCAGTGCATGAATCAAAGCCGCGCTGGTAGAGTGCAGAATGTCGATGCCGTTCATGGTGACGGGAGATTCAGGGACTTTGGGGGAGTCTGTGGGGTTTTCTCCAAGAAGTAGGAAGACATCCCAAACGCGGAGCTGAGCCGCGAAAGGGATGGATAAGTTGAATAGTGTTAGGTACCATCGGGTACCGTAGGCTGTAGGATCGATGCAGAGCTCAGTCTAGAAACGGTCAGTCTAACGTCATCGGTTGAAAGGCGCGCGGGTGTCTTACCAGCTTCTTGGCGACGTCCTTGCCATCCAGCCACTTGGTTTGAAAGTCGTTCAAAGCTGCCATCAGGCCGTCAAAGCCAGGACTGTACAGCTTCTCTAGGCCCCGTAGTTGCCACATGCGTACGAGCATGACAAAACACTTCTCTTCGTCAAAGTAGCAGAGCAACGTTGCCGCCAACGAAGCCATGCCTTGAACGTAGCCAGTATTCGGGAAATAAAGCGATAACGCGTGCAAGACTCGGAAGAGCAAGCGCTGACCACCTCGATAGCGCTTCCGGAACATGACGTGCCTGCTGATGGTGCGTGGAACGTCCAGGTCGATTTGCACATCGTCCGGCGAGCCTCTGCACTGAAGGCGATGAAAGTCGGTGATGATGGAATCCTCAGACGGGGAGTCCTTGTGAGCTCTGGCGCTGGTTGCCATGAACGAGTACCAGGCAGATGCTCTCCATCGGTCGGGTATGCCTTTCCACGTCCTGTCGATGAGCTTTTGGTTCTTAACATCGAAATCGAATTCCATGCCTTCGCCGTCTTTCCCCTTCTTGACGATCTTGGCCATTTTACGCCACTTTTCAGACCTCTCCCATTCCTTCTTCTTAATGGCCTCGGAGATTTTCTCTACCTTCTCTTCGTCGCCCAATGAAAGCGAAAGCATTTCTCCAGCCTCGTCCATCCATCGTCGATCGCGATTGTGTAGGAGCAGGTTTCCTGCTTGTCTGATTGCGGATCGGGTCGACCGACGAGACGCAACCGAAGCCTTGGATCCTTGAGTATTGAGCGATCGAGCGGACACCTTCCTACTGGGTCCTCTGGATGGCAAGCCCAACCCAAAGGCATCTCGCTTTGAAAAGACGTGCTTCCTTCTGGGCGCTGACTGCGACGATCTAGGCTCAGCGGGTGTGCCGTTGCTCTTCTCTGGCTTGCGCGGGCTGATGAAGCCATAACGGTCGATGTCGTATCCCTCGAGGTCTTCCCAGTCTTCAAGACCACCGGCCACCTCATACTCGCTGCGTGTTTCGGGTCGTTGGGAATAAGAACTTCCAGATCTTGGAGTTCCCCAAGCGGGAGGCTGGAGTTCGGCGACGCTGCAGACAGGAGACACGTTAGCGTACTGGTCGGGCAACAATCCGGGCAAAAGGAAACCATACGGATCATTTTCGACCTCCTCCGTCGGAGTTTCGGCGGTCGAGTTGAGACGCTCGCCAACATCCGACGGTCGGGCTCCGTCTTCCCACCTGAGGCCTTCGCCGGATTCATAGAGCGATCTCACCTTTCGAGATTCCATCTCCACGTCCGCGGACAAGACGCAGATGCTGGGGGTCGTCATTGTGGCTTGCGAGGCCGACTCTGCAGTCGTCTCTGCCGTCGTTGTGTCAGTCGTGGTCGTCTCTCCCGTCGTTGCTTCGGTTGTAGTTGTGTCGGTGGCGTTCAGGTGGTTCGCGCTGGTCTCAGTGGTGCTGACGGCAGTGGACTGGGGCGGCTCTTCGTATTGAATGTGGAGGATTGGGGCCGATGCAGGGGCATCAGCAGGGGGGGTTGGCGGAGGCGCGTGTGCTTTGTCCGTTTGCGACTGTCCATCCATTGTTCCGTCGGTGGTTTGTGCGGGGAACGCGCGAAGACCACCAAACATGAGACTGCCTCGATTGGAGAAAGACAGAGTTGTTAGGAAGTCATCTTCGAGGAGGTTGTCCGTGGGGATGGACACTGAAATGGGAGAGAAGTAAGAGGCATCCTTGCTCAGGAGTTGGAAGTCTTCGTGGATGTTGACAGGGGAGAAATTAGGCGAGTCATCGGAGGCTGCAAATGAGGACCGCGAATGGGAGATGATTGGCGCCGATGCAGGTGATAGGTCACCCAGACTCTTGTCCCGCAACTCAACGGGAGAATCGACCGATAAGGTGCTGCTAATACTCCCAGATTTCTTTCTTTCCGCAAGCGCAATTTCGACCTGCACATTTTGATAATGATCCATGCTGTCGACCTCTTTGCCGATGCAAGGCGTGGACCAACGACCAGAGATTCGTTTGCTCAGAAGCAATTCATCGACGGAAGTACTTTCGCAAACCGAAGGTGTCACAGGTTGTTCCGTTTGTTGCACAACAATCGTGTCGGCCTCCAGAGCAGCAATCTTGGCGCATGCACGGCTCTCTTCGTCCTCGCAGTCCTCCTCTGCAATAGTCGCTGAAGACGATGCAGTAGGTGCCAGCCCTGAATCTCTCTTCCAATCGTTTACCGTAGTATTGCGGGCCGCAGCGCGGGAACGAAACGCAGGATGCTGGTCGATGGCGGGCGGAGGAGCAACAACGACGGGGCTGGAAGGCGGACTTGAGAAGGTCGATGATGATGCAGAAGTGGAAGTTCGGCGGGTTGAACAGGAGTGAGATCTTTGGGGAATTCGTGTAAGAATAGGGATGGGAGGCTCTGCCTGGACCGTCTTCTCGTAGCGAAGGGCAATGAGGCTAGCATCGTCCTTGAAAGGTACGAGCGTAGGCCGGGACTTCAAGCGCATACTGGCGAATCTTTGGGGTGCCATAGCGTGATATTTCAGGGTGCTCCGGCCGGGGCGTGTGTGGGTGTAGCTTGGGACCGATCAGACCGTGCTCAACTGCTCATTAGCAGGCCGAGCCGCGATGTCTAGATGCCGGCGTCGAACTGAAGCAAGATGGAGTGGAAAGGCGGCCAAGGCGGGTGTGGTGACGATATAAGTGGAGGGTGAGTGGCTCACCGTCGAGCGCGCTGAGGGCCGTAAGCTTGGGATTCAGGTGTGCCAAATTAAGACCTGGGGACTAGATGGGCGCTAGCTTGATTGGGCAAACAAGATGAAGAGCCCGAGGTGAGGAATGAGGGCGGGATGCAATGCAATTCCAACAACAACCCAAGAGAAGGTTGTTTGAGGCAAATGCAGCAGGACCGTGACGTATTCGTACACGTGCGGCGATAGGCGAGGGATGGATGTGTATTCGTAGGAGCAAGCGGGATATGAGGTCGGCGATGACAAGGACGACGCTCGCGAGTTTGGTGTGGTTCTCTGCTGGCGTCGTGTAAGTCAAGTCACTTGAGCGAGTCTGCGTCTGTGCTAGATAGCAAATGACCAGCAAATCCAAGGTAAGACTGAGCAAGAAACAGGTGTTAAAATACTTTCTAATACTACGCCAGAGGTGGAGGAATGCTTGGTAGGGAGGATTGGCTACCTTTATGAGGTGAGTGAGGTCGGTTTGTTGAGATCCGTTGGGTGACGGGAAAGAGTCTCGTCGCGGGGTTTTTGGAGTCAAGCGGGTGCTCAAAGGCGTGTGGTCTATCGGAGGTGCGTCTTGGGAGGATGAATAAACGCCAAGGTAGGTGCAGGCAGGAAAGTTTCTTGAAGCTGAAGAAGGATACGTGAGGCAGTGTGGACATGAAGTGGTGAATGTGCAAAATTCAAGGTCCGGACTCGAGATAGCTGAGAAGGAGGAGGGTATGAATAACTAAGCTGGGGAAAAAGAGAGACAGCAGGGCATCCTTTCTTTTCTCTTCTTTCTTCCACAATTGCTTCCCCCCGTACCAACGTGCCCCCTCTATTTCCTACACACCCAGCCGTCTTTGCCGCGTTCGTCAGATTGAACAGAAAACGGCATGAGTAACAGGCTCATGACCATCGTCTCTCCAGCCCAGCAGGGTCGGGTTGCAAATGCAGGAAGCGGTGGCAGCGGCGGTGGCAGCAATACATCGCGGTAGTGGCCCGGCACCAGGACCACATTGGAAGTTCAAGTCCACAACACGTTGGAGGCGGTCGGGGGTGGGGAATGCGCTCCTAGCGAGAACAGGGCTTCTCTGTCTCAAGGCACGTAGGTACGTACTCCCAAGTACATTCCTGGAATCGGAATGGTTGGCAACTTGGCAAGTACCTTATCCACTGGGTCTCTATATGCTGGCAGCTTTTCGTCCCAGAAGGGCGATTGTCCCACCATAACACAGTATTTAATTGGACAGACAGAAGCCCTGGGCTGGGCCAGCCCGAGTGGACCCCCCCCCCCCCGGTTTCAACATTTGGCAAGTGGGTGTTGTCGTCTGAACTTGTGAGGAAGGGCCGTCCATCGTCCTTGAACCTCCAGGCACAAATTGTTTGCCAGTTGTAACCATGGCCTGGGGACGGAATTGGCAGTAAAGTGCAATGTAGCCGGGTACAAAACTCACTTCATGTGGATGTGCGCATGAGAAACACACAATACTCGCACAAAAGAAATAACGAAGACGACAGGGGGTGAAACTGTACAAATCTAAGAGAAAGACGTCGTCAGTCAGTCAACCACATCGCCAACAACCCATGTCGCCTTGTACAGCAAACGAGTCTTGATCGGGTCATTGGCCCCAGTTCCCGCCATCTGTCCATGCGTCCCTACCCAAAGGAAGGGAGAGAAAAGACGGGCCGTACGGATACTTCACAAATTCACCCTCGTCGCCAGGCCATTGCCATTGAGTCGGTGAAGCGCTCTATCTTTCTCTTCTTCATCTCTGCAATAGAGACCGCTACTTGGAGTCAGTCAGTCATTGACGGACCCACGTTGCTGCATGACGAGCTCCGTTCGCATGGCTGGTTTCTTCATGACCGCCAAATCTCAAGTCTCAACGCGACCACAACCACGGCAACCGACGACGGTGCAACATGGATTATCGGGTGGTTGGCCCGTTTGATCTCCCTTCTGCCTAGGAGATACACAGCTACACGCCCATCTCTACTTGGCGACACAAATACGGCCGGCGGAGGCAGTGGTAGATTGCGGTCACACTTGTTCAAGGTGAAGATGGAGCACGAGATTTCCATCTTCCAAAATTTCCAACGTCTGGCTTGGCGGATCATGGCGAAGAGCAACGCACCTCTTGACCTTCCCATCTCGGCTCCTGCATCGCCGGTACGAGTCGGCCGTCATTACTTGCTCACTGATTGTCGAAAGAGTCTCAATCGATCCACTGGTTCCATGGGCTATCGGAAACATGTCTCTCATGACCTGCCAATTTACGACAAGGAAAATGAAGAGAAGAAGAAATGAGAAGAAACGGGAACGAGGCCTTCCGACCCAATGCAAACAAACGCGCCTCTGCACTTGACCCCGGATTCCCTCCGTTTGCAACCAGGTCTCTTTGTCAGCCTTTGTAGCCTCCCGCAGCGTCAATTCCATCAATCTACGATATGACGATAGCTAAGGACTGGACTACTGCTCGTCTGGCGACCAGCCCGAGTCGTCCCCATCCCATGGACAGGCTTTCCGTATCCCTTGCTCCCGGGCCCGAGGTAGTCTTCCATTTGAAGCCTGAAGCCGTGCCGCATATCATCGCAAGTAAACACACGATACGGCTGTCTTAAAGTCCTCCCTTGATCGACAGGCACTCTGTTGCGACTTGCGGCTCGTCTGGATCAACACCAAATGCCCTCTGTCTCAGCCTCAGAGACACCACTAGAGGTCTAAGTAGGACGAGCAGGGGAACCTAGTTGTCTACCTAGTTACCATAAAAGGTACGTACATGAGCCGGAAAGCTGGTAGCATCCATGGTTGGCCCAAGCGACGTTTATTGACTTGTTGACTTCCAGTTGCCCTACGTTCGTACCCATGTACGATCACGACGACGTATAAGAAACTCCGGGTTCTTCTCCCTTTGCACATTGACCTGAAATCGCGGACGAATACGGATTGGGAAGAGTCTTTGGCGTCATCCATGTCCAAGCCAACCTGAGGGGTTTGAAATGAAATGAGAGTTTCTGAGCATATCGGTTCTTGTCTTTCCTAGGCTCGCTCAGGCACCTTACCTTACTGTTTTGGGGGATGCAAAGCAATTCGATTCCCAAGAATGCGCAATATCGCTCGAGCTGAGCCTCAAGACTTTCCCCCTCTCATCTCCAATTCCCGGACAAATTACTCCAAAACGCAACGGGATCAAAACACGTCACGCCTTCGTGCCCCGTACAACAATAAACAACAGATCCAGACCTTTCAGAATCAAACGGAAACTTCCCGACCGGCTCTATCCATGCGGTTCCCCGGTTCGTCCCACGAAGCACATCTCGACCAGTTGGCAAATCACACAGAGCCAGGCACCCAACAGCGTTTGCGTTCCATCGCTTTTTTCGTCAACTCTTTTGGAGAGCCCGTCTGCCTTGCCTGCCCGCCCGCTTCCCTCGAGAGGGATAGGTGCAGTGGTCCAGTGTACGGATACTCTGCCAGCCAAGCCCAGCACGGCGCCAGGAACAAAGATCTGACGTGGCACATCCTAGTCCGCGAGTGACACTTTCCTCGACGAGGCCCAGCCAATGGGTGATTGATCCCAATACCTACTTCACTAATTGGAACGAATGCTAGGTACGATTCTAGTCGGAGGGACCCGAGACATTTGCTACGGACACACAGTACCTACCTCCGAACAACATCTCAATATCCCGCATTGGGTTCGACTTCACCACCTCCCCCTCCCCCTCTCGCCCCTCCCCAATTCGAACTTCAGGGTCCTCCGCACCCCTTCCCTCCCTACCCTAGGCGCTTGCCCCCCCTCCCTTTTCCGTGTCACCGGGTCGTCCCACACATGGTCAACACAAGATGTTCGTTCCAAGGTCCACAGAAGGCCATATAGTGTAATCGTACAGCAGCCAAAAAGTTCTGCCCTGAGTAATCTGTAAGCGCCTCGGTTCTCCATACCACGTCAAGTAGAGGAAGTGAACGTGAACCGCGGTTTTCCACCGTGGATCTCCGTCGTGGATCTCGAAAACAACTCGTGACTCCTTTTGTGTTCCGTCGACGTGGCTCAAGTCAAACTCGGGGGAACCGCTGACTCGGACGAATTATTCGCAGCGCAAAATCCGCGGTGCCTGTATTTCTCCTCTCTTCAGTGAAGACCCCTTCTCCATGCTCCCCGCTTTGCCCACGAACAGCGCAAACCTAAGGGTAGAGTGGGGGGTTGCTACCTTCTCTAATGCCATAGAGCTACCTAATATTTTTTTTGGGGGGGGGGGGGGGAGCCAGCACAATCCAGTATGAGTCAACGAGAGCGGGAGGAGAACATATGGACCAATTGTCTTGGTAATAGACTGGATATCTCTACTCCCATCGCTGAGCGCTTCTACCTACAGACAGCCCAGCGCGAGCTGTTACTCCGTACCATGACCTCCTCCATTGCATTGAATCCCCTCGTTCTGTGACGCGCTCCTCTCAGGGACTATCACAATATGGCAGTGGACACTATTTGCTTCCCCTTGCATCGTCCGTCTGCCCCCATCGAATCAATCAAACGCTATGCTTATCGGGATATTTTTGCCCTACTTGCTGTCATGTCCTGGAAAAGCTCGGAACCCGTCTGTTCACCAATGCCCCTAATGCTGTGTGGTGTTCTGCGCTGCGGCGCTTGATGGGACAACCCGTTGAACGTCGAATGCTGATTCCCATTACTCATATACTTTGTCCGCCCTTGGAAGGCTTGCCTCTCTCTTTCTCTCTCAGACCTCTTCATTCTCCCAGTCTTTCTCACTAAACATCGGGCCCTTCCGCGCGCCGCTAGCTTCGAGCTTCG